TATTATTTGTTTTTTTTTTTATTGACCACTAAAAAAATCTCACACATACACCAATGCTAATATTTTTAAAATTTATTTGTTTTATTTGTTGTCGTTTAAATTAAATGCTGTGTTAAATCATTTGATATCTGGGAAGAATATTTTTAAATGAGATTCCATTTGATAAAAAACATAAATAATGTTGTGAAACATCTTGATTCGTAATTATCCTTTATCCATTTAAATTAAAGTGAAGCTGATGATTATGATAATGGCGATAATGGGAAACGTCTAAATCTATCGTATTACGCATTACAATGTGTATATATTAATTCAAATTTAGAAAGAAAATTAAAAGAAGGATCTTCTTCATATCCAATAATATCAATAATTATATTAATAAAATTTCACTGGTGGTAAATCAGTTTAATCAGTTTACAAAAAAAATTGAAATTATTCTATTTACTTAAACTTGATTAGTTAATAATATAATTAAATGAAATTTCTTGGATAAGGGGGTTAACTTCCGTATATTTATTTTAAGTGAAAGTATTATTTACTTCTATGTCCATATATGTTTTAATAATGAATGTACCGCGCATTTTAAAGGAAACATGTAATGATATAAATGAATATATAAATATGAATGAATAATTAATTAGATAATGAACAAGATAGACGATATCTTGCAAAAAATATTTTACATTGTCAACTAAAATTATCATTTATCATCTGCAAATATTGATTGGATTTTCCGTTATTTTGTGTACAAAAAAGTTTATTTTTTGCATTGTTCCAAATAACCAAAGAAATTACGTATTATGTCGATCATTATTAGTCGAAGAGTTCCAAAATGCCATTACCAAAAAACTGCTGTTGAAATTTCTAGGAAAGAGGCTATTCAAAAAAAGAATACCTATTGTTATTGTTATTATGATTATTATTTGAATTATAATGATGTTGTTGACCAATTCCTGTTAAATTATTTATATTTGAAATTGGAATTTCATTGTGACTTCCCATTAAAGCACCAATTGAATTATTGTTATTGTTGTTGTTATTATTATTACTGCTATTGCTACTATTTATTGATGTAAGATTTGTTATTGAAGATATGCTACTTGTTCCACTACCAAGATTAGGTGAAGTGGGTGTATTGCTACTGCTACTATTGCTTTT